ATAGCGTTGAAATGGTTAACAATTACTTCACTGAATGTTTGAGATTTAATTTCTTTCTACAATTGATGTCACTATCAAAATCTAAAAATAATTATTCAAGACGTCAGCAGCAGCCAGTACAGAACCTGATTTTCTGGGTTCATCAACCCCATGAGTTCCAAATGCATCTTCCACAAAAAGTAATCTGCACCAAAAAAAGGGCAGAATGTATGGTAAGCCTACATAAGATTATTTACTGAAAAAAAGTTGGCTCTTCCATACATAGTACTTGAGAAGTTTAAATCAATTGTGAAAATATCCAGCAATTACATTTGTATTATAGCTCTGTTGGTAGTCTTAAATACAGACGGCTAAACTTTTGGAGCGACATTATTTAGAAAGACATTTAAGTTTGAGAAGGAGAATGTCAATATGACCATTGTTTAGTATCAAGTGATGTTCAGGTTGTCAGACGTGGTAATTATGTAGTAGAAAGCAGTAATTATAACTTAAACAATGTCCATTAACCTGATGTAACCTTATAGAACAACTTATTTTTAGTCATCTTTTATATCATTCTATAGTCTAAATGTTCTAGGTATAATAATAGAAACATTTATAACAATTACTTTGAAGCAGAGATTTTAATGTACTGGTATGGGGATGTGCCTACACTTTTAAAGATACTGGAATGGCAATGTGCCTACACTTGAAGATACTGAATGGTAATGTGCCCACTACACTTTTTAATGTAGGCTACTGGAATGACAATTTGCCTACACTTTTAAATGTATTGGAGTGGCGATGCGCCTACAATTTTAAGAGTGGTTGTCTTATAAATAGCTATCATAAATGTAATACTAAAAGTTAAACACAATTTTAGTCAGGAACTTTATGATACATTCATCAGATTCAGAATTTTACAATAAAATAATATCGCAGGCAAGCAGAAAAACAGGACACTCTATAGCTCCAATGGCTGTATTAAAGTCAGGTCGTTGATACAAGAAGAATATGTAAGGAATCACCCTTTGTGCCATCACCTCACTGTCTGCCGACGGCTGTCTTCCTACCAGCTATTTTTCGGACTATTTAATGTCTGGTCATGAGTTTGTGGGACTTAATGCTCACTTCCACTGAGGGTAATATCACAGGTAAATCATGGTTCATGAAAAATTTGTTAGATGAGCCAGTTGTGTGTGAGAGGCTAGGGTTGAACGGGAGAGCAAGAAAGGGAATTTGTAACGTCCTTCCACTTGGTTGAATGTGCAAGTTTACCTTTTTAGATATAGCTAAATTTATATACTGTAATGCTTCTTTCCATATTGGGTTTAACACTTTTAAAGTATGGCTTAGTTCACATAATGTTTTTAACCATTAAATTTAATGGCATAATGACCATCATATTTATATTAGGAAAAAGGTATACTCATTGCAAAAGATTGATTACTAATATGTTTTCTTTTAATTCATATTTAACACAATTGATCTGAAGTGAGCTAGTCTAAATATATGTTCATGTGAAATGTGTTTTTCTTTTATTATTAATGTAAAATAGGTTTCAAAATGGCAAAAGTGAAAGTTTTATTAAGTACTTTATGTGATTGTCTGATTACCCTAAATTTTAGACTAATGTCTACAAGGGGATAAAAGCTATTCAACAAGTTAAAACCAAATTTTGTTTCATCAGGCTCCCAGTGGTCAAGTCGAGGCCACTATTAAGATTTTTCTTGGAATGCTTGTAATGTGATTAGTTCATTTCCACCAGTATTTAGTCTCTGATTACAGACTTCAACAGTCAAGGGAGCAGTTGTTATTAAAGTGGAAGTAATTCTTGGTAATAACCATTTTGAATCTTGCTTGAGACAAAAGATTGTATTACACTGGTCATCTGTAGTTTAATATGTATTATTAATTATATTAAAAGTCAGAATATGAAACATTTGTCAAATGTCAGTCGGCTGTGTGTCATTTAGTTGCTTGTTGTTATATAAATGGCTTTAAAATTGTGCATGGACTTCAGTATTCAGTCACCATTGGTTTTGTAGGACTATTGGGACTAGCACTATCACTTAGAAAGGTTCAGTATTTTTATGTCATCAGTCTTTAGCTTTATCTATATGGAATAGAGTATGATGTCTTGGCAACACAATATTTTGGTCTCTCTGCGTCACAATGCTTTGGTCACATGTGCAATGTTAGGAAGGTGAATTTCACATGAACGCAATTCTTTGTCCACCCACTCTTCATCGAATTCCAACTGTCAGTTAAGGGTTCTACTTTTTACAAACCAATTAGCACCAGGATGGTCCTCAGTTTTTTTTTATTCCATTCGAACGATTAGGCATATTTTCCTTGAGGTTTAACTTGGATAAGAGATGGTTTATGACTGCTTTATTTAGCTGTCCTGAAAAATATTTTTTGTGGTATCAAGATTTCTTAATACAATTTTAGCTGCATGTTGCATTTCTCTTGAAGGTCATTGTGTCAAGAAACCAAACCCAGCGTTGAAAATCCATTAGTAAATAGATTTTAACATTCATGAATGAAATTGCGATTGACTTTTGTGGAATAAGTATAACTAAACCTGTTTAGTATAGAAAAGATAACACAAGATAGAACTGGGATGTTTGGTCTTACAATGTTTTATGATCTCTTCGGATGTGATTTAAAGATAACAACAACTTTGGGTTGTTTTTGAAAAGGTTAAGTTGATCATGTCTAGCCATAGATATTATGTTGTGAACATGGTCTCCTATTGTGTTTTGTAGATTATATATCTATGAGTAGGTCTGGTTGACAGTCTTAATAAAGAGATTTATACATACAAGTCAGAACAAAATTCAGATCATAGTCTATTGAATGGAGCTCTTTCGATCAGACAATTCCTCGTGAAAAAACTTTTTAATTGATTTATTGTCATGTTCAGTAATGATGAATTTTGCAGTAGAATCAATGCAAATTTATTGGACAGAAAAGAATTATACTTATAGCTGTATTGATGTTTGTGGAACCGTGACGTTGAGTGTCCTTGGCCAGGTACATATTGTTTGGTTTGATTCCTTATCACTTCAAATTACAAAACAACAACTTTAGCATTGATGTTCTTAAAAGGAAAATGTTAGTCATATATAATATGCAATATAGTATTCAATAGACATAATATTAATAACTAGTGGTTGTATTTATTTAGATTATTTTATCTTTATCTATCAACTAACACAGCAAACAAATTCATAGGAGTAATAAAGGAATTTGATTGATAATAATTTGCTGCAAGAAAACTAAAAACTGGCAACAACAAAACCACCTGTAAAATTGCACCTTTTTAGTGATGCTGTTGAGTTTATGTATGTAGACAGTCTTCCAATAATTTTTAGGATTTTTTGGTATTAATTAGTGAACATTCCTGCACTTATTCAAGAAATTAATGAAGCAATTCATGTCAATAATTGTTGAAGCGTTGGAAGCAAAGGGTTAAGTAATTGCATGGCATCTATTGTAATAAACGTTTAAGAGTTTTTCAAAGTAAAAGGTTTTGTCATGAGATCAATACATGTCTGAAGAAATTTGGTGTCACAGTTCTATTAACAGGAATAACAGATGTATTCATGTGCTAAATAGTAATTGTTCATTAAATGCAGCTTAATGAAGCTGGTTTTTGAAATCGTGTTCTCGGCTTATGTAGACCTTGTGTACTGATGGACAATCAATTAATCCCTAGTCCTTTGAAAGTTTTATTTGAGTCAACCTTGGGATATCTTTTGTGTCTGTAGTTGTACTTTCCAGTCCAGTCCGAATGCAGTTGATCAAAATTGATATGAAGTTGATCAAAATTCTACCTAATTTCTGATGTAAATTTTTTGATTTTATGTGTTAAAGAGATACATTTCCATTTTAAACATTTTATGTCCATAAATTATAATTCTTAATGTGGAACATCCTAGGGAATGAGCATAACTTTACAGCATTATTACTTTTTTTTTTATCCGACATATCTTTACATGAAATAGATGAGCATTAAATGTGCATGAATAAAACATGGACAGTTAACACATAAAAGCACTGTGTTTTTTAAAAAAAAATGTGTGATGAGAATTACATTTGTTCATTTCACAGGGTTTCTCGACAACTATAATAAAAGACGTGTGTTTAATGCATCTCAATATTCGAAAGTTAGCACTAGAATAATGCATGGACATGAAGATTGATTATGTAAAATGCTACGAATCAGACTAGCCAACATTACAAGCCCCATTAAATAAGAGACGGACGCCAAATGTAAAATTTATGCTTAATTGTTGCATGTTCTTGACACAGCAAACAAAAGGAAAATGATCCTGTCAATAATATTTATTGACATTACGATAAAATGGTGCTTTGAGGTCAGATCTAGTGGTTCACTTTATCATCAGCAGATCAATGAAAATGACTTGTTTTTTCAACACGATAGCCCTTGCTTGATTGAAGCGATTCCGGAGACATTGTCGGGCTATTGGCAGATTTGGGCATTAATTAACCAATCAAAGACATAAATCATATGGTGATATCGAAAAGCCTGTGGCATATTTGATAGTTGTGTTTATGGATCTTTGTTGTTTACTTAAAAGAGCCAATTAAATGAACCATGCGTATTTAAAGCAGATCAGTAAAAAGATAGGGGATTATTTTAGAATTACATAGATTATTGGAGATACATCATAAAAACTTTCCGGCTAATTTATATTAACATTGAAGATACCTGTGTCATGAACTGGCATGAAAAATGTATAAAAAATAAATCCCTGATGCTTACCCACCTGTCATTGCTTAGCTTAATGAGATAATGGTCAATAGGGCACTAAAAAGTACAATAAAAGTTTGTTGAGAAGTGCTATCAGGTGTTCTGGTAAAGTTTGAATAAATGAAATGAAATGGGTTAAACGTCCTACTGTTCTGCTCCAACTAGGCTAATGAAGATGGTAACATGATTGATTTCTTATTTATTATCTGTATTGTAATTTATTTATTGTATATTGTAGGAGTGAAGAACCTGTCCCATCAAACATGGACATCTCAACAGGACATATAGTCCTCGTAAGTTACATTTAATTTATTTTTGTATCTAAATAAATAGGGAAAAAGAGTCTTTTATTTTTAGGTATCGATAATCTTTATAACGAAATATTTATTAAAGAAATAAGAGACATATTTACACCAATAACTGATTGATTGCATAGAACAGATATGATTTTAAAAATAAAAATATTAATGTTATACATTGCATTTAAATCAAGATTGAGGGTCATTGGATATTCCCTTTAGCTATGTCAATCCGTTAGAAGGAATTTGATGTTTATTCCATACTGTGCTAATGATGGCAAATTTGTAGCCTAAGCAAATTGAATAATGGGCATTAGCAGAGGGTATTCCTTGTCACTTGTCTGAGAAACTCCTAATTTCATTATTTCAAGATCTTGTTGCTTATTATCGCGGAATCTCTTATCAAGATGTTCGTGCTACCGAGCTATTGATATATTGACGTTCCGTCACTCCACTCCACACACTATTATTCTAATCATTGGATACTGAACAGCTTTCCCTCGCAGCAAGAGAACTACCTGATGTTCTAGTCTGTAGTCTTATCAAAACTCAAACACTTGATCCACCAGCAACATTTATTCAGTACTTGATGAGAAATTCAATTTTATTAGCTTGTTATTATTTTGTTCAATGGTACTAAGTATCTAAATGTGTAAAGTAATTTTTTTTTCTCACAAAATGTAAATCATTGGATGTGTGGATATTGTATAAAATGTTAAAACAGTAGAAAGTAAACTGCTAAAAAACAAAAATGCACAACTATTCAGGAATAAAGTCCAAATAACAAAGATATATCAAGAACAAAAAATAATATGGCACAAATTAAGTCTAAACAAATAATTAAAACCTGAATGGTTAGGTATGTTAAATTACTAGCTGGCAGCCATCCCTAGAATCATTGATTTTGAACTCAGCTTATGCTTAGTTTTCAAGGATCTTTTTGGTCAACAATTTTAGAGGTCTAAGATATGTCACATGTGTTTTCTTTATTCCAGTCACAGATTAACAATGTTTTAACTAGTTTTACTCTTACTGTCAAATAACAAACAGTGCATAACTAGACAAAACAAATTCCACCAGAATGATGAGGTTATGTCTTTGATAGTTCACTATTATTCTGATATAAATATGTCTCAAGCAAGACATATGGGTACATCTCATGCCTCAGTATGGATTGACATATAATAATCGATTTTAATACTAGTTAAATTACAGTCAGTCTCAATTGAAATCAATAAAAGTCGAAATAGAATAAAACCAAATTTGTATGCTGAAACGCCTAATATAAAAAATAGAAACGCAAACCAGGCTTTATTCCAAAATATCATGCATCACCATTTATTTACCAGCAACAAAAACATAATATCACGATCAATGTTTACTCAAAAACAATTCTTACACAAATTTGTAAGTTAATCAATTTGAAATATCTGATGCGTTTTATTGATGTTGGAATACACAAATAGATTGTGTGTAGCTGACATGCACACTTGTTCTTTGTTATTCGTTTTAAACAGTTCACTTGAGTACAAAACATAAAACATTATTGGACAAAGGTATAGAAAAATAAGTGGAAATGAACTTGTAAAATATAATTTCAAAGAAATTTGATGAGTAATTAAAAGTGTATATTTACAATAGTATAACTAAACAGAAACAAGCCCTTTCTTTTGTATCCAGTTCAAAAATCAAACAAGACTAAGTGCTTTGTGTTTGAATTTGTTGATTTGTTGGATGGAATCGGCATTGCATGATATCTACATATTAATTTCTTGGGACATGATGTGGATGCAAGAAGAACAGTCTGGCAATGCAGTGATATACCGTATTTTAAATCTTGTTGCGGATGGTTAATGGAAAATGATATGCATGTTATTAAGAATAATATTTAGGTCTACCATTTCAAGGAAGGAATTTAGAGCATTTACATTTACTTTTTTCACATTGTTCAAATACATCAGCTACAGCTGGATGAGTGTCATAAAAAAATTTCAGCACTTGCCGATCAAAACTGGTGTTATCTTAACAAAGGTCATGTGATCAGATCTTGACCAATCAATGTTGGTAAATAATGGATGAAGCTTTCATCGGGTTTTCCTTGCACAATATCGATGAAGAATGGATTTCTTGATAAGATTACCTTATCAGCAAAATTACGGTTGGTGTCCTTTTGAAGATAATTGAAGAAATGTTGTTAAAGATAGTAGACGATAGTACTACAAATTGATCCTGTATAACCATCCAGGCTATAGTTAGTGTAATATGAATCATCAGTATTGGTTATAAGCATTTTCTGATAGTCCCTGCTAGTCTAACTATGGAATTTGTGTTCCAGAGAAATCGAAGAGGATGGAAGCCAATATACAAGTTTTCAGAAAAATGAGTTTGAATCCCTTCGTCTGTTTATAGCCATTGGGGATTGTTTAGAGATTAAACAGGAAGTAAGAAACAAGAGAACCTGGACAGAGTCTTCACTGTCAGGAAAGAGATTCTTCTTCCTATGAAATACAATCCAAAATTAATGCTTGAATCACCTGCATGCATGTGTGCACTGTATTTTCTAGCTAATCAATACCTTGTTGAGGCATATCAAAGAGACAAATAATTTTTACCATTAACTTTGGACTTTTGCTTTAAGTAAAGGTGTCTATCCAATTTCACATTCTTTTTTTAGTTCAGTCCCTCAAAGGTAAAAAGAGAGACCCAAAACTATCTATATATTTGGATTAATACTTGAACAAATAAACTGGTTTGTATCTCATTCTTCTAAATGAATTACACATTTCCCTTTCTATGGAGAACTAACATCCAAACTTTATTACATTGTACTAGGGTAAAAACAATCCATTTTACTCTTAACAAAATTGTAATCGACCAATGCCTGGCCATCTCACAATCAAATATAGTGTACAACGGTAATAAAATAAATACAACATGTCACACTTTATCAATGAATTGATTGGTTGGTTTTTAACATTAACTTGACAAGCCTGTTCGATAATTCTTGGCAATTTCCACCAACTAGAAAATCATAAACTAATAGCATAAAATGAAAAGAGAGTTGTTTTTTTGGTGTATTTATGATGATTGATTTAGTATGATGGAACTATAGAAACTGTGCTGTAATTGAATGAATCTAGATTTCTATCTGCTATGTTTTTTATAAAATACATGTAAGGTATATTGGAAGGTTTAAACATTATGAACTTTTTTTCAAACTTAAAAAATACTATAAAAAGTTGGGGATATTTATGAGACGACCATCATGCACACTTCCAAATATATTCTGAAACTTCTAAATCAGTTAATACAATGATCTCTATCTTACTTGAAAAATACTATTTCCAACCATGAGAAAGCTTATCATACGATCATGCACTGACATGTTTAACCTTAGCAACCATTTATATTGTGTTAATATTCAATATGAAACAAGTTGAGCTGGAAGTTAGAGATAACCGTTCATATTAAATACATATTACACACTCACTTCACCGATACCTAGCAATCAACAAATTAAAATTTCATTATATTGATTCACAAGAAAAACAAAAGGTTTCACTTGGATCAACAAAAGATAGGTTACTGCTGCTGAATAGATGAACATTAGATCGAATTTCATACTATGCAAATTCGCTGCTCTATCCTTACAGTTTTTGATGCAAGTGGGTTCAATATAAGATAGAGCACATTAATTGATCTGGTTAGTGTTTTGCGTTCAGGATCACATGTACTTACCTGTGTATTACTGATCTATTGTTTTCAAATGAAAAAAAAATTGGATTGAATATTTGAATAGCTTAAAAATTGCTGTCAATATTATTGTCTTATTGACAGAGGAGTAAATGTTTGATGGATTAAAGCCCATTTAGTCATATTAAAAGACAACGTCTTATCAGCATCCCACATTACTAACAAGCTGCAAATGGAGAATTAAAGAGGTATCTGAAAATTATCCCAAAAAAAAGAACCCAGAGAGAAATTTGAATCAATTTTGCAGTTAAAAGCAGTAAGACCTGACATTGGGTCATCCACCAGAACTAATCACTGGAGATATTAGCATAACTATTTGCATTAATTTTGTAGAAGAAGATACCCATTTTAACAAAATAATCATATTAAGCATACACAACTTGCATGCCAATTTAATTCTCTACAGGATGCCATTGTTTAACCCATGATGTGTTGATTAAATTCATGTTGTCTTAATTTACTCGAGACAGACCAAGACTTCATACAAATCAAAGACCGAGAATATTTTACATTCAAGTAATATAGATGAAAAATGTTTAAAACGGTCAACTTCCAGGGGATGAAACATCTAAGAATGGATACAGCTGTACACAGACTACATCACTTGGGAATTTATAGACATGAATTAACTATTCCAAGCAACTTTCTTTTCCAAATAACTTGATGAAAAAATAAAGGAAAGTGGAGAATTTTCATTGCTTTACCCCCAACTGCTCTAATGGTGCCTAATGATTGTATGATTGGGTGTTAAAACGTCCACCAGATGTCACTAGCAGTTATAGACATTACCATGGCGATCAACAGGTGACTTAATGGATTCCATGACCTCATTTCCTGTCAAACAAAGTGTTAATGACGGATATCGACTGAGAGACACCTAACAACGTGACCCGTGTCGTAAAAGTTTCATGGTTTTATCAGTATTGTCCTCATGTTTCCTGTCACGGATGAACCAGTGAATGCTGGGTAATCATGCTAACGAGACCTTGTATTGATGTGTATGTGAAAATCAATGCTTTCACTTTTCATTTTATTTAAAGGCCAGCCATCACTATTAAGTTACACAAAAGAAAACATTTTCAAGAGTAGTGTTCAGTACACTATTTTCTAAACCTTTAAACCTCATTCAGTGTATATTGATGTAATGTTTCTATTGAGAAGCTTAAAAATAGTTTATCCAGAAAATATTTTAGAAGATTTATAAAAAGCTTTGGTATCTGAAAAGGAACTGAGTGATGAACTTGCTTCAACAGTTTCTTAAATCAGTATGCCCATGTGGTGTTTTGTTGAAGTTTTGGGAATTAATGAAACCTACTTAATACCTACTGATTCAGTTTGCCCTTTTTACGTAATTTGAATATGGAGACAATGAAGATAATGTAAAGATATCTTTTAATTCATTACAAGATGTCTCTTCTTAAATGGCGTGAAAAGTGTGAATGATATTAATCCATTTTTATAGGCCCACACACAGAATGTGCATATACTGTGATCACTCTTTCTATCCATCCATCAGTGTGCTCACTCTACAGGCTACAAGTTTTTGCGAAGCATTGGATTTTAACCAAGAGATTCTGCTCATTGTCAGTCAACAATTTCTTGTTAATGTTAAGACTGGAGTTATGTATGGAATTTTTTTTAAATTTGGATTTAAGCAGTGGGACCATGCTTTCTCTGTGTCCCATGGCTAGAAGCCTGCATTTCAACAAGTTTCAGCTTTGTCTGTGCATGCATCCATCTGTTAAATAAGGTGAAAATCCTAAAAGTTTGTTTCAAATTATAGCTGCCATGTGGGCGTATTTTCATGCATTTTCATCCCCTTGTAGATGATTGTACAATTTAAGATTCAGTGTAAGACGGCCGCATGGTTCTTATAAGACGTCTTATGGCACAACTCCGCAATATGTTATACATCATGCATAGGCCACAGAGAGACATCCATCAGACTTAAATCTCCATTTTAGCTTCTACATTCAATCTGTGTAAAATATGCTATGCTTGGCTCTAACATATGGAATATTGATTCCTGATCGGTTCAAGAGTGGACCTTAAATTATGCGATACTGTAGCGTGTTAGTGAGCCAAGTCTTGTTTTATTGTGATTTATAAACTGCTTCTGTTAAATGAAAATAGCGATGAGACAATTTACTGCTAATGGAGAAATAAACTGACACAATTGTTGTCTGTTGTTTGTTCGGTGGCCATGTTTTTTTTGCCGATAATGGCTGCACCATTAAACACATTCTTTCACGCAGACACCACTCATACAAACTGACAATTTATAACGAAATGGGAACTAATTGTGTTCCAGGGATTCCTTTCCTTTGTTTTTATATGTGAACTGCAAACCAGTGGAATGAAATTGAATTTCGATTTAGAAAACCTAATTCTGTGTTATTAATAGATGTCTATAGAAATGTAATCAAGTCTATCGTCTAGTCCGATTGAACAAAATGAAATAAAATGCTTGAAGTTTAACATTTTATCATGGTCTATTTTAGACTAAAAAAGTATTTTTGTTGATCCACAAGTGTCCCAATATACCTATGTGTACATATAATCTTATATTGATAAATTTACTGGGAGGGATGACATAAATATATTTTAAACATTTCCTGAAGTGTTGTGTTAGTGAGAATTGAATTTCCTTCCATTGACAGAATCATGATAAAAGTCATTTTGTTGATTCATCAGGTTATCCCATTTCAGTTAAACAAATATTTATATATATAAATAAACACCTTCGATTAGAATAAATCAATGAAATATTACCCTGCAAATTTGTGAAGAGACAAATGTATGGTAATTGTACCGGTATATGCAATTTCTTCACCAATATTCAAATTGTTATTTTTTTTTTCCTTCAGTCTTACATGGAAGATCACCTAAATAACCAAGATCGTTTGGACACCGAATGGGAAGCTTTGAGTGGTTACGAGGCGGAACCTTCAAGTACCAAGGTGGCTACCGACGCCTCCAACATGCGTAAAAATCGCTATGGTGATATTCTACCCTGTAAGTATATGTTATCACATTTTAAAGTTCAAGTGTTCTTGAAAACATAAAAAGAAATAGAGAAATTATTGATTTCTGTGGAAATTATAGCCTTATTCGTCAAAACTACATGTATTCCAAATCAAATTTCTCTCATAAAAAAGCAAGAAATTTGTGGAAAACTGATAGTGCAGGGAATTAAATTATATGATTTAACCCAATTATCAGCACCCATTGGTTTACAAGTGGCTTCTACATTCAGTATAGGAGTTAGGGCTCTATATGTACTGCACTTACATCTATTGCACTTCAGTGATTTTTATTTTAACACTTTTTGATAGTTCGTAAATTTAAATCCTTGAAAATAAGAATCCAGCAATTCGGCATTTTTTTATCTAAATGGTAATTCAGTTCAATTTGTTCCTAAACTAAATAACATAATTTTAAAATTTAACTTTTTAATGAAGGTATATAGTATGTATATGATTTTAAGTAAATGTAGAGAATATGGTCCTTAATTCAGTCAAATTTACTCCTCAACTTAAATCGCATAAATTTAGAAATCAACTTTTTGATAGTAAATAAAGTTTGAACATATGGTCCTTTATCTCAGGATTTGATTCGGGTCAAAAAACTGTTGGATGTTATATAATATATTATATTGTTGAGATATAACCAATTTTTTATTCCACTACGATACAGTAAGTATAAAATTAGGAAACAAACCGACTTCTTCTTAATCTTTCAAAAAAAATATAGAGCAACCAAATTTAATATTTTATTTTCGCCTAAATCAAAGAAATTTAACTGAAATTAACCTTTACAGCAACTTACCTCCATGTTTTCATCATGCATTCCATCAAGAATGATGTCCCTTACTCGGAAGCAGTATTGCTATAGAACTGTTTAATTAACACTTAAGATTATGTTCATCTCGGCTTCAATTGAATTTCACATATTTATAGTTTTTTATATAATTGCAATATTTTTGGATTAAAATAAACTAAAACTGTGAATATACTTCTATTTAAGTTGGTACTATTATGGTAATACTTGATGGTTAGATAGCATTAAACAGACTTAGTAATGTTGAAGAAAGATTTTCAAATAGCATTAAACAGACTTAGTAATGTTAAAGAAAGATTTTCAAATTGTCAGATATTTTTATAATGACTGTCATGACAGATAATGCTCCATTTTTTACAAATGGAAAGAAAAAAATGATATCTTGATAGCTATAGGCTGTTGGCAATTCTTAGTAAGGTTAATAAAAGCGTATCTGATTCACGACTCATTTTACTAAGCTAAAAATGATACCACTCCACTATTTTCTTCTAAATCATTAAATTAACTTGCCTCCAGGCCACAACTCATGTCCGCAAGAAAATAACAAATTGGTTTTTAAGCCGAGCAAAAGATTTGGTTTTCTTGTCAGCTCGTTGCGACTCTCAACTCCAATTGAACGTGTCGTCTGCTTGGTGAATGGTGTCAGATCATGACAGGAATACCACGACATAAAACACATTTATAAATTATTCACTCGTTAGAATCCGACTGGATCACATAGTCAACATTAAGACATTCTACAAAAATCACCTCTGGAATAAAACAAATTTGCCATTTGGTCAAAAAACTTTGATCCCAATTAACAGCACGGCCATCCTTTTACAGAAGTTCATTTCCTTAAGAGTTCTGTTTAAGCCTCATTGAGTATTATGATCATGAAACTACCAGACCTGCTTGTGTTACGGACTGCTGAATATATTTCATTTACTAGCAAACCCTGCGCGTGCAATCATTTACCAAAAAAACATCATCTCAAAATTTATGAATAAAGGTCATCCAAATGCAGAAAGTTTTTAGGTGTGAATTCTGAAGAGTTAAAATGACTGCCATATTTTTCTTCCCAAGGGATAGTTTAGTTGAGAATTTATGGAGATTTTCACTTTTAGTTGCCATTTTACAATTTTTTGTTATTTTGTTTCACCGTGTTGATGGAAATATATCATGGTGATTGTGAATTACAGTAAATCTTGTAAGTCACTGAATTGAAACAAATTCTATTAGAAATTTATTTAAATTTAGATCAATTGTGACCTTTTAAATTCTTTGATGAATTTAGCTTTATATATATCCATTTGTCACAATGCCACATTTAAAAATCAAAATTATCGCAATTTAATTATCCACATGTTTGGATGAACCTTGGCTTATAAATAGCTTGCAATTTCTAAACATTAATCAAACACATCTATGGAGAATTGTATTAAAATAGGTGTTTTTTCTTATCTAGACATAACGTCTCTAAATGGAGTGAAAATAAGATTTTTTTAGGGTGTGAACTCTTAAAGAGTTACGATGGTTGCCATATTTTTCTTCTAAAGGGTATAGTTTAGTTGAGAATTTATGGTGATTTTGACTTTTACTTGCTAGTTTGCAATTCTTTTGTTATTTTATCTCACCATGGTGATGGAAATATATCATGTTGATTGTGAATTACAGTAAATCTTGTAAGGTCCTGAATTGATTTCATTTTACTTTTGTCTATGTGTCAGTTAGGAATAACATGACCATATAGCAAACCTTTTACTGAGATAATATATTTTATAAGACCAGTGATGTTTGGAGAATTTCCAAATGTAGGGCACAAAATTGTAAATTACTAATTGGGGCATGGAAGGTTAAATACAAGAAAACAGTATTATTTCAATTAATTTAAGTAAGCTATAAATCGTGTCTTTATATTATTTCTTTTTAATGGCCTTATATATGCCACTGTTGGAATTCTTTTGAAATTTATATGAATAATTAGCAATTTGTATTTGCATAATTGATTCCTGCTGGCTGATGAAAGTGATTATTCAAGATTTGTAGTTGTTCAAGAATTATAGGTGGTCAGATGAAACAGTAATAAGCTTATAGGACAGAATTTTTAAATGAATGCACACGTACATTTTAATTGGAAATAATAATAAATTCCTGCTGCTAAAACTTAAATTTTGTTTGTAATACTAAATATATAAATAAATTTATACCATGTTACAGCTGTAATGTGAAAGTTCGGGAAGAGGTCTTTGTTTACCATAATGTAGTATCTTGATACATTATATATAAATGATTATAGAGGGACCTTTAGGATATTCCGCTGACCTTTGAAACATGATATTGATTATGGCTAATGATAAATCACCTTACATTTCTTATTGTCATGACAACCTAAATCTAACTTCCTGTCGGGGATAGTTTCACTTCCCGTCTCCTAGAGATTATAAATGGGGATCTCTCTTCCCAGACATCATCACCCTCTGTGGAAACGGACATTAATCCCCTTTCTGCTACTACTACCACAGATATCACAGACATAACACGTATATGTGAAATGAAATGAAATAGGGTTTAACATCCTACTGTTTTGGTCTGATTGGGCTTACGAAGATGGGCATATGCCATATTGTGTGCTATGAGGTAAATTCTGCTCAGACAGCTGCACTACGTCCTACTATTATATCAATATTCCAACTGCCAAGGAATCTTTTACATGCATGCCAATGTGTACACGGCACTTCCGATTTTCGTACCTTCAGAACAACTAGACAGCTGTCATTGTCAGGTCCTTAGTCCTGCATCACTGACAAGGGGTAACCACACCAGAAAATCCTGATGAACTTTCTCGGCTAACAACGGGAGCAAACCCGCAACCTCAAGGCTAGCGAGCCAGTGTTTTACTCACTGAGCCACCGTGGCCTCCATACGTATATCTATGACCTCTTTTAATTCATAGAAACAGTTACTTAAATTGTCAGAATTAGACAAATTATTACTGAAACCTAAAAATCCAAAGTTCATTTTTCAAGCTGTTCAAGATATTAGACATGATTACCATGAACTTCACAGACATAGTCAATTTGGAATTTGTTAAGTACTCTTGGAATTCAAATTTTCTCTTTCATAGCAGCTAGATCACATAGTTAATAAATTTATTTTCTACAATTGTATCATTATATTTGTTTAATTATCCTAGTCACATTAAAGGCTGTTGTCCACCAAACAACAACAACCACGACAACAATTCAATGTTCAAATGCCATTTTAACATTAAGATAATGATCGTTTGCGCCCCACACACACGTGACACAACTGAAAGAAAACTGCAGATACTCAACGAGACTTAATTAAAAAATTATCCCTTTTCCATGACTTCAGGATTTGGGCGTTTTTTGTTTTTTTTGCCGCACTATGTTTTGCTACGAGGAAGAATAAAAACTAAACCAAATGAAGAATTATGTTAATTAATTATTTGTAGAACTCGAATCTTACTGCAACTGAAGATAGAGGTGAACCAAAACAATTGAAATGTCAGTCACATGATGATGTCATAGAATGATGACTTAACCTGTGCAGTTGTCCCACTTGGTGTACATGGGTTAAAAAAAAACGCATGCAGATGTCAATGCGTTAAAGCTTAAAAAGGATGCTACCGGTTGCTGTGGAGCTCTAAGAAGCTTTTATCCTATTGGCTAACATTGGGCACCATTAGTAAGCCGTGTGTAAGCTCCTGTTAATTATACACATATTAAGCTGCTAGATAATTCACCTTCAATATCGAAGAATCAATAGGCCTTATTATCAGCCGGGATCTGCCCTTTTTATATTTTGATGAGCGGGCAGAAAGATGAACAAAGAAGGAAAATGTACATGTAAGGAAAGACCTCGGCTTGCTTTAAGACGAGTAAATGATAGTCTTGATCGACCCAGCTATTGATTAAGTCTGACATTAGCACTAGGCAGACAGATTTAATTTTGTGCTAGGGTAGAACTTGTAAATGCATGAAGAACTATTTATCTGAAGTGGAAGATGATTGGTACTCTTTTAAAAATATTACATCCAACAAAGATTTAAAAGCCTATTACATGTATCAATTAATATAATAGTTTATTCAATTTGTTTTAATACATACTTCAGACTTGTGACACAACACATTTGGCACAATAGGGTGCATGCTAATAAAGAATTAAATTGATATCACAGTTGTTTGTAACTTTACATATATTACACATGACTTATTACTGGTAATGCACAGGTATTATTTGATATACAGGTAGTCACTAAATACACTATGACATGTAATTGATTAATACACATTTAATTCATCCTATATTTGATTGTCGATGTGCACAAAATATTTGTTGGAATTCATATTCTTTACCATATATAATTTGTTATTGCTGTGGTATTTTATCTTATTCAAATATCAATTGATGACTGATTACATTGTCTTTGTTATTTTAGATGACCACTCCCGAGTTGTCCTGTCATCAGCTGCTAATGTCTCCAATTCTGATTACATCAATGCCAATTTTATTGTAAGTATCAAACAAACTATATAGTATTTTATTATCAAGATTTAAGATAATATTGTTATATTTGTTAGGTGTTAATGCTGAGTGTGGGAGAAATTGCGGCAATACTATATACCAGAAAACAACCGGAAAACACCATTTTATACTGAATACCGGAAAACACTGGAAAAACACTAAATACAGGAAAACACACTAAATACCGGAAAATACCCTAAATAGGTAACCCGGAGACTGGCACCCTAAATAGGTAACCGGGAGCCTGGTCCTCTGTGTACCTGGGTTAGGGTTATGGTTAGTTTCCGGTTTATAGTACAGCCCTTCTCCGGGTTACCTATTTAGGGTGGTTTCCAGTATTTAGTGTGTTTTCCGGTATTAAGTGTTTTTCCGGTGTTCAGTATTACATGGTGTTTTCCTGTAGTTTTCCGGTTGTTTTCGGTGTTTTCTGGTATATAGTATAGCCTGAGAAATTGTGGTGTAAGGATATTTTATCAAAATCAATCATTAACAAAAAAATCCCACACACATGAATTGCTTTTATACTCAAATACGGAAAATTGGTATAAATCTTGTAACTTATTGTTCCAGAATAAAATTAGATAAGTAATAAACATATAATTTGGCTCAAATTAGAGTTTTTGTTTATCTAATTTAAAAAATATTTTACCATAAGATGTTTATTGCCAGAAAAAAACGTTATTGTCTTAATGCTTTTCAATAAATCATTAAACGATTACTGTTGTTCAAGAAGAGATAAAATATTCAAACAGAGTAAAGAAAGAGTCAATATATTGTCAATAAATCAAAAAAATAATTTCTAAGCTTAACATGAACCTGTGCTAGACAACATTTTTCTCATCAAAAATGATCGACTGCAGTTTTTCCACACATGAATAAAGAGCAACCTCAAAGGTGAAGCTCTTTCATATTGCGTTATATTTTTTTCAAGATTTTATCAAAGCTGATAATTTCATCGATAGGATTCTCTGAAGTGGAAAATTGTTATAGCGACCTTTCATTTAGTTGAGAGCTCTAAGGCAAAGAATATTTCCATCACGTCGGCTGAACGGATGTTCACGCTTCACTGAGTTCCTGATATTATTTTAAGCGACTGTTAATTTCAAAATTATTTCTTCTTCCGGAAAGAAACCATGGTTAGATTACAAAAAAAGATGGTTGGTTTGCTTATTTCTAGATTTAATTTAGATATAGACAGAAATTATTTCATATTGTCATATATATTTACTTTTTCTATTCATTAATGGTCTATATTTAGATCTTAAGAACTATTATACGATAGTACTACACATTTGAAAACTGCGCCATGATACTGAATACAGAAGGCAAAATGTGCTAGTAAACGAAATGCTATAAAGAGGCATTATTGTTCTCAAAAAATGGAAATGTAATTAAGTTTGAATATTGAGTAATAAAAGCATATTCAAAATCATGTGAACTAAACATAATTATCAAAAATCATGTAAACTAAACATAATTATCATAAATCATTTAAACTAACATAATTATCATAAATCTCAGCACTGACTTACAATTAATTATATAGCTAGAGTAAGGTATTTTTTAAAAGGACTCTTTCAGATTTGTAGCAGATTTGGCATACAATTCAATTTGCCTAATGTAAACTGTACATGTATAGTCACAGCGGAAATTATATTTTTCCAATGGGTGAAGACACCCAAAGTGCTGATGATTTTATGGAAAGGATTCAACTTGGTTTGTCTTGATTAATTGCACTTAATTATCCATTTATTTAGTTCCTAATTTGCATATAATCAAACTTAATTTTCAACGCCAAAATATTGCTTTCGTTTGGAGATATTTACTTGGTCCATCTTCATTAGTCAAGTAGCTAGGTGCAGAACAGTAAGAAGTTATTTACTTGGCAATGAATATAAAACTAAATAAAATAAAATCCTAGTGTTTGATTATTTCAATCCATGTATTATAGTCTATTTAGATTAGATAATAAAACAGAACAATGTGTCTTACTCTATTAAAGGCACAACTGACATCTGAAAATAAACCCCACACTCGGTGAACTAATTGAATATTTCTTTAGATTTTTCGCGACATTTCCAAATAAAGACAAATCAATGAACCTATGAGTTTTCAGAAAAAAAAATTCCCAGTTTTGAAATATGTTGGAATCGAATACCAAAAACTATTAAGGATTTAGATTCCAATAGTCAGATGAAGCATACGATAGCCTCATCAATTCTTCACCGCAGTCAAAAAAAATGGCATTTCCAAGATGATAATGCCGTTAAAAATGATGAGAAAATTTTATTTTCTTGTTCTGAGGTCTTAGGGATATTGACTATCTGTCATTGAACAGGACATAATTTGCGATACGATAATTTGAAGTGGCCTTGTCCTTGCTACTGTACTTCACAATCCAGTTGTATTAACGAAAAACTAATAAAGGAGACATAAGTGATACAAAATGGAAAATTGAGAGGGGTGAATGCATTGTGCCATGACTTAACACCATTACCGTCACCTACAAGACGTGATTCACACACATTATTTCAAATCATTTTTTGACACAGCTATTTGTTAAAGAATACTTGACAAGTTCGAAAAGCTGGAACTACTGACTACAATTCTCACCAACAGTATAAGTTCAATTTGACCGTGCACATTAAGTATTAGTGGATAACAGTATAAGTATACAAATGCTATTTGAACTTGATGTGCATCTGTAGACATCAGAATAACGGCACAAGACACAGAACAAATATTATAGGAACATAACATTGGCACACTGTTAAATATACATTCATAGAGTTATATAGAAATGATGTAATAAAAATATGAAATATATGGGGCTAGAGGGCACATAGCAATGCTTTCAGAGTAAGAAATCGTTTGAAGAAATGGTATAATCTGTAGTCATAAGGTTCTCTTTCTTAAATTCCCAAACCATTTTAACTCCGACAATAGCTACCAGGACATGTTTTAGCATACAGGGCAACATTTTTTTTTCTAGAAACATCTGCATCTATGGATTTACTGAAAATCTAAAATCATTGCTCACAATCTGATATGAATATATGTCTACTTGCAAAATTATGATCACATAAAAAAAATATTGTAACCCGGTATTTTACAGATATGTTGCAATCACCATGGAAGATTTTCCTCTTTAAAGGAGCTAAATCGCTAACATTTGGGACCTAGAAATTGACAAAAGTGGGTCGCAAAGCATATAATACTGTAATATGAATGTATATAAACTGATTTACATTCAATGGTTTCCGTTTTTACTCCAATGTCAAATCAGTTATTTTCGGTGAAATAAGCCAGCAGTCTCAAGCGAGTGCAAATTTCTAGCGTCTGGTTATTCCAGTCTACATACGCCGTTTGATTTGGTGCAATGTGTCTAGCCTCGTCCCTCGAGTCTCTTGATACAACCGGGGCTGAAGCGCATTATGGTACACGATTCGTGTACCAATGGTAAAATGTTTATTTTGTCTTAAATATTGGATATCAAAAGCCCATCTTTTTCGGGTAAGATCACAACATGAATGTTGATTTAATTTGACAAATAAATCGTGTTTTCAATGTTGAAGATTTTGGATGATATTGGATGATAGAGACTTGGCTACTTTAAGCTGTTATGTATGAGTAGAATGTTACTACCTAATACATTGGACAATAATTGTTCTCTGAATCTTTTAGTGGTGGCGAAATTATGACTAAACTGTAGATCAATATTTCCTGGGGAATTTCTATTTGTTGTGGAGTTTATCATATTATGTACATACTTACTGTGACTACAGTGAATTGTGGATACATTTTCATCTGATCAATCTTAAAATGATAGCACTCTCATTAAAATTATAGATATATTGTGAGTCTACTCTATAAGACTTGACTACCTCTTGTCTTTTCTTTGGAGTCAGTTTTACGTCCACTTCCACCAGAGGAGATATCATATTGTCTACGATATCACCTCTGGTGGAAGTGGACCTAAAACTTTAGGTTTGGACAAATGAATGAACGAGTCAGCTTTGAGCCACTGTGATTGACTATGACCATTATTGCCAGAAGCACCTTGTCATTTGATATATGATGGGTCAAGTTGGGTCCGTTAAAGCCCAACTTAATAAAGATGTTATAACATTATTAGACCTTAATGTAGACATAAAAAAAAGAGAAAAGTAACGAAAATATGAATGATAAAGTAACAAAAATATGAATGAAAAAGTAACAAATGTTAAATATGAATTAAAAAGAAACAAAAGTAAAAATGGTAAATATGAATGAAACAAAAGTACAATAGTAAATATAAATGAAATAGAAACAAAAGTATGGTAAATATAAATGAAAATCAAACAAAGTATGGTCTGAGTTTAATTAGACTGTAAAAAGAAATCAAACTTTAAGTAGCGTTATATGATTAAAATGCTAGCTTACCAGTTGTTATATAACACATTTTTTATACGTTATGGGAAGTTTATGTCAAATATACTGTTTACTTGGTTTTAATCATGGCTTGTTTTGATGTAAATAGATATTATAGAATGAATTACTTAACACTATACTTTCAGACTGATCATGATCCGAGAAATCCAGCTTTCATTGTTACCCAGAGTCCTCTACCACACACTGTGGCTGATTTTTGGCAGGTAGGATTATGAATCTGTTGTACATGTTCTATGCTTTTAAAACTGTTACATTGTGCATTGAATATCGTCAATTTGTAATATTGTTGAAATTATATTGGTTAGTCTGATGGTGATGCAAATTCTAATTCGCTATGTTCATTACAACCACATAGAGAAACTGCTACATAAAGACTGTGCCAGATATTTAAGTTATAAAAGATCAAAGACGATGCTAAAATTTACTTTTACAGATGGTATGGGAACAAGGTAGTGTTGTAATTGTTATGTTGACCAAACTAACTGAAAACGGAACTGCTATGTGTCATCGTTACTGGCCAGAAGAGGGAAGTGATCTGTATCATATATATGAGGTAAAAGATATCTTTATGATCCCAGCCCCTTCACCCAGATAGGATAGAAATGTTCTTATAATAGTGTAAAGTTTCAGCATACTCTAAATCTTTATTATAATGTCAATGTTGAGGTTCATGGATCACACCTGGATTATAGCAAAACCCTTATACTGACTTCCTTATACAGGATCCCAATTTGTGTTTAAATATTTTAGGTTCATCTGGTGTCTGAACATATCTGGTGTGATGATTATCTGGTCCGTAGTTTCTACCTGAAGAATCTCCAAACTAATGAAACAAGAACTGTCACTCAATTTCACTTCCTCACCTGGCCTAATCTTGGCGTACCTGGTTCCATCAAAGCTCTTCTTGACTACAGGCGGTAAGTTCAGAAACTAAATTATTTGACATTTTCTAATGCCTTTCTTGCAAATATTAACCATTTGTGCTGTTAGTTTGGTTCTGAAAAATACAGATTTGGAGCCTTTTATCTGTTGCTTTTAATCTCTTACCCAAGCTTTTTAATGCAGGGGAACCTTAAGTGGTCTCCAACTGGTAATAAAGGGAAACCTTAAGTGGTGTCGAACTGTTTAATGAACGGAGATCATAGGTAGTGTTTTGCTGTCTGCTTCTAAATTTCATCAATGAACACGTTTGGGGGATCTGAAATTATTTTATAGGACTGGAAGCATAGGTTTGATTATCTGTGTAGGTAGCTTGTTATGAAGATTTGTTTGTCTGAAACTGCTTTTATATTTCACCACCAGCTCTAGTTGCTTATTGCTTGTTCTTATGTCCATCTCTATATAGTAGCTTTTGAAAGGTGGAGGGTTCTTTATTTAACTGCTTATATTGCTAACTTTTTGGATGTTGCTAGTATTTAACTAATTCCATTTAACTAACTGCTAACAGCTTATTGAAACTAACTTCATCTGCCCGGGCAGCTTTTGTGATTTAGCAATTGTGATTTTTGCAAATTGCATAGTCACAAAAGTGATCGGGGAGGTGGAACAGTCCACTAACAAATTTATATTGGTTATATGTTACTAACAAGTGTTCCAGAAGGTAGATCAGTCTATTAACCAATCTGCGTTGGTAACATTGCTAACAACACTATTGTTTACTCCAGCTATTTTTCTGGCTGTTCAGTTTTGAAAATGTTTCAAGCCGAGGGATTGGTGACAGTCATATTTGGGCTTGGAATTTGTATTTATTGTCCACTCTTTAAACTGAAATTTAAGAATGTATGAAGATCACTATAATAATACCTTTTTCTTTATGTTTATACTTTTCTCTGTATAATTCCATGTGGTTTGGCAAGTCATTTTGATCGGATAACAAAAACTGTCGTATAATGAACAGATGATTTTATGGGTCATGTTAGAGTAATATTGCTGCTTTATAGTCAATTCCTAACTAGGGATAGTACAGGTTCATGTAAATATCAGTCAAAATATTTAGCAATATTTATATTTTCTTTGATTTCTTTGATATTTGTCCTTTTGAAGATGTGAAGAGAGTCACAAATTGCTGGATAATGAACTGCTAGGATATTAGCTTTTTATTTTTTCTTTAGGTATCGTCTTTTAATAATGGCCATCTATTAGTACTCAGGTGCGTTCAGTTGTTATTAACAAGCTTTTAATTTGATGACATATAACAAGAACGCCTGTCTTATCTAGTCACATGACTCCATCATTGTTAATCAGCTGTGAATGCTTTCTTGCTATCTAATTGGATGGAATTGTCACATTTTTTCATTCGTCTTCAGTGGGTGTGATAATGGACACGGATATAGGAAGTGTAACATTCTACAGTATTAATATAAATAAGCGTTTTCTGTTCATAGAAAGGAACTTGTTTTTTCTGTAAATATTGATCAGCAATAAAATGAAATTTCTTTTTTTTAAATCAACAATGTGTGTAATAGTAATATGATGACATTGGGGAGGAAGTGGCACCTTCTCTTTTTTTATTGGAATGGGGAGCAGGATGGAAAGGTCTGATTGGTCTTATTTTGTGTGTACCTTACCTGACCTCAAGTGTTTGACCAGGGACACTGGTTTTCTTTGACATCTAAAGATCCCCTAGTACTGACAATTTGTTATTAAATTAAATAGATCCCAGGTCAGGTCTCAAAAAGTTTGAAATGGCCTTATGCTGATTGGTATCATATGATGAATTGCAGTAAAATGAAAATTGAATTATATATTGTATATCAAGGATTATTTTCTAACTTTGAATTAAATTTGGCTTGATTCCTTAGTCGCTGAGAGAATTAGGCAATATAGTATGCTTTCTAAAATTGGGAGAAAGTTTTCATTGAATTCTCAGGTTCATTGTCCTCAGATATTTTAATAGCAGCGGACATTGATAATGATGGATTAAAACATATTGATTGGTTGTATTTCTTGTTGGTTGATATTTTATAATTGAGTTTTAAACTATATCTAGGTTCATTTAGTAAGATACAATCGTCACAGTGGGCATAAATCAATTGGGTGATTGACAGGTGATAAGTATAATACGGATGGCTGGTCGACAGAGATCTATTGAAGTCTACATATTGAATAATAAGTGGTTATATTTCTCTAAAATGTCTGGACATCAGACGCTGGAATAAGGGGTCATTTATTAGAGAGAGCTTGGTATAATTACAGCCTAATTAACTCCTTGTACATCCTGCTTTTCTTTTCCTTTAGTTAGAGAGACTAGAGTGCCTGAGGCTACTTCCTGGCTGATGCACACACTCCGTCATTATAAAGAGATCGATGGCGTGCCGAGGGCACTCGTCGTTTCATTAAAGGTTTCAATCTAATGGATTTCACTGACCAGATTCATTGTGAATAAGAGAAACGACTTGATGTTTTTTGGCAATTTACTCTGGGCTTTTTCTATGTTAGTTGGGTATCTCTTAAAAATAAATTCCTAGGATATTTCTGGAAATTATATGAGAAAATTCACGCTATATTGGTCAACACATGAATGTTGAAGCTCTGCTGCTCAAAGCAGAATTCCTGTTGGATGTGTGCTACTTGTGTGATGAAACATTTTATAGAAGCAGATTGGATTTTGAGTCAACTATAAGATTTTTTAACGATAAAGAACTATACTTCGTCATTCCTCTTAGAAATATTACAGCTTCTAAATCTATAGTCAATGATCTAATTAAAAACTCCTAGAGAATTGTAATTGTTCTTGAGATTGCCTTTATTTTCAATAGCATTGTATACAAGTAGAATAAATATACATTTCAACTTTGTGTATTGTTTATATTATATATTATTTTATACAATTTAGACATCATACAGTAGCTATCTTATTTTATACAAATTAGATATTATATTTTATCCAATTTTGATAACATCAGAAAATGTTTTAAATTATATGAGAATATTGTAATAGACTTATTGTAATAAGTTATTAGTGGTTTTATTTATCAATGATGAATAGTTAATGATTTCCTGATTTACTTTTATTTCCAGAAAAGTGAACAAATCGTTTCGGGGACGTTCCTGTCCTATTGTTGTACACTGCAGGTGAGATATTAATAGAATGAAACAACAGTCAAATTAATCAAAATGATATCCGGGAAACCTATTTACTACTTTTCAGACTGTCTAATGAAGATTTATTCTTTTAATTTTCAAGTCTCAGAATTGTCCAATGATGAGACAATTTTTGGAGAGTTGTATTATTTACGGGCACTGTAAGTCACAGATGAGACCCAGCTTTCAGTTATGACTCATGACACTAATTGTATCATTAATATAGTACATTATATTCATTGTGTAAAATTGTCTTTTACAAACAGTGATGGTTGTGACAGATCTGGTACTTACATCCTTATTGACATGGTACTCAATCGTATGGCCAAGGGTAAGTTTTTGAGGGATTATTTAAATTTTAAAAAACCAAAAAAAACCAAGATACATTGGTCTATAGCCTACTCAAAATACAAGCAATCGATTAACCAGATTTCACTGTTTCTATCTGTTTGATGTGTTTGGTTAAACTAGATTTGTATTAACTGTACATTATTGGTTGAAATTTGAATTAATATTACCAATCAGGTGGCATTAACCCACATTTCAGATGAAATAATCAACATCGTGGTTCGAAATTTGACAGAAATATCCAGGAAGTGAGAAAGCTTGTTTCAAATGCAAAAGCTTTTGTGTCCTAATTGCAAGAGTGAAATTGATAGAATTATGTCCTGTATGATTTCATTTTTCTTAATAATTAATAAAATAACAAATCTTGAATGTAGTGTTTTTGTGAGGGTTTACTGGTCTTAATTTGTTTTTTCTTCTTTTGTTCAAATTTTCAATATAATTTATCAGCACGACAACTCTATCAATTTCTGATCCAGCATGATTCACCTTAAGGGGAGACAACTCTATCAATTTCTGATCACTGTTTATATATGTATCAATTTATTGCATTCATAATTGTATGTTGTATATATCTTACTTTTTCTTATTTCAGGTGCTAAAGAAATTGACATGGCGGCTACCTTGGAACATATTCGTGACCAGAGAATGTCCATGGTTAAAACCAAGGTGGGTAAATTTATAATGCTGCCAGACAAGTAATATTTTTATAAATTCCTAAGTCTAGGGCTGGCTTATATAAAGATGTGTTCAACTTGAGATAATATTTTGTCTACGATATCACCTTAGGTGGAAATGGACGTAAAACTCTAGAAACAAACGAACGAACGAAATGAGATAATACTAAATTTCCTAGCAATAGCGCCCAGTGATTATTGTAATTTGATAATCTGAATTTCAACTTCATGTGAATCTAAACTTATAGATAATTTCCCATTTCATTATTCTCATGAATTATAAAAAGGAGATTTTATGTATCTAATCTTCTGAATGAGACCGACTTTATCATTCATTTCAGGAACAATTCCAGTTTGCTCTGGCTTCAGTTGCGGAAGAAGTACACGCCATCTTGAAGGCTTTACCACAGTGAACAAGGCACACTGTTTGACCAATCCAATGTTGTTTAATTTAATTTAGCACTAGGCCAATCATCTGCTAAATGACCATATATGGTTGTCAGGATGTAATGTCAAACATTATTAAAAGTGTTTTGAATGAAGACAATCTGAATCTAAAGTTTATAAAAACCTGTATTGACATATTCTCCAATTTGTTTGGAGTCAGTTGTACATGTTGAGATCTGTATTCTGTCAAAATTTGTACCTGGATATAGATTTTAGATTGGGGTTTTCTGCTTTCAAACTCCATTCAATATGTTCCTCTGCATTCCAAGAAACAGCTATTGTCAAAATACATTCCATTTATTGTAACCCCATGTGTTTCCTCCTCAAACAATCTGGTAACCATGACAACCATGACAACCATTAAAATACTACAATAGTTGCAACTTCAACTTACATTGTAGGCATAAATTCCCTCAGTATTAAGACAAACGAATATCCTCTCATGAAAGAATAATATTTTTATTCCTGTTCGAAAAACCATAAGGATCCATCATTTCTTGTTATACAGTAACTTATATAGTTGGGGAGGGGGCCTGAAGACATGTCCAATTACAGATATACTTAACTAAAAGAACCTGGTTTTGGGAGCATTTAACATTTTACGATTCCCATATCAGTTTTTAAAATCAATTGAGTCATTTAAATATTTTGCACCCCCTTCCCCCTTGGAAATCGTTCCTCATACACATAGTTAAAAAGATAGATTTTTCTCCTTTATAAAGCAATTAAAAAGTTCATCTCGGAGTACTAGTACTTTTTTAATTTTCTTTGAAAAATTAGGTCCTAAAATATATTTCGATAGTTCTAAAGGATCAAATGGTGTATGTACTTAATAAAAATAACTTTATTTTTATTTAATTATTAAAAATTGATTTCCTTTTGATGGATTTTATTTTTTACATTTTATCAATATGTATAAATTCAGAAAAAAAATGATTTTAATGTGTAAAGTATTGTGTAGGGATAAATTTTAAGTGAAACATATAATGATACTTTTCAAAAACCCGAGGAACAAATAATAAGAATTTTGGTATGATTAAAAACATATAATGAACAAATCGAAGAAAAAAATGATTGCATCAAAAATTAAACTATAGCAAAGCAGCATCATTAGAGTCTTTAAGTGCTAAAACATTAATTTGTTTTGAAAAAAAGGTCCTAGGAAAAATGAATATAATCACATTAAATTTTAAATTTAGTGAATGATTTGTTGTTATAAGATAATGCAAATCAGAGACAATTTAAATTAATAATTATATTTAAGGTGAAATTTTTGGAATAGAAAATGTCCAATCAACCTTAATAATTATGATTTTGTTAGCTAAACAAATTAGTAAAATATTATTTCAGAATAGTCTGTGGACATGAAAAAAAAAAAAGTAAATCCATTTTTCCTGGGACTTTTTTTAAATCAGAAAGTTAATAGTTGTAACAAGGCTGTTTCTTGCTTGAGAATTGATATTATTAGATTATTAGTCATATAAAATGTGTGTCCCCACCCATCCCCACCCCCTCCCTTGTCTTGCCCTCTTATTTACATCACCCCACCTAGTATATGATAGTATGTATTTTTATTTTATAAAATTATTTTATTGTAAATGCATAATATCTATACAAAAACAAAGTTTATGTTTATTGTGTTACTGTTTTGTATCCAAACTACAATTTAAAGTATACAAAAAACTTTCTAAATCAAGAAATTCAAATTAATATTAATGGAAATTTCGAACCTTTTCAGACTCTTAAACAGGATAACTTGGGGTTTTGTGTAAGATAATTAATTTTTAGATCAATTCCCAAATGTATTCCTAGCTTCCATTTGTTTCAATATTAAATATGAATATATATATGTCTATTTATGTATATATTGTCTTCACTTCTGTTATTTAAAATGTCTAGTCATTAAATAGCTGATACTGTTATCGAAATAAAAGCATCCATTATTAGAAATCCTATAGTAAGAAAACACACTTAGTGACGTAACAGAAACATCAATCATGGTTTGGTTCAATGGTCCTAAAGGTTTCTAAACTTGAGAAAATAAACACTTTTGGGGCCTTAGAATATGTGATCTTTGTTTTTCAAATAAAGTTGATAGGGATCTTAATTCTGTTACGTCACTTTTGAAAGAAATATTTTATGTACTGTACTGTAAAACATGGATTTATTTTTTGTACTAGAAGAGAGCACAGGACTGGGCATGGGTTGCATTAAATGACATTTTTACAATGTCATGTTAAATTACATTCACCTTGACCCGAAACCTGTTCAAGACCATTACCAGGGTCATTATTAATTTGTCATGATAACCAAATAATCAATTTTATGAAGTGACCAATTCAAACTGACAGTGTTACTTTTGGCTGATAATGTGGTTGTTTATTTATAAACTGCAGAAATGAATTTAATGGCACAATGTTGTAACAAAGTTGATGGTACAATGATTCATGTTTTACCGTATCAGTGCTTTACATATTTTGATTTCATTCAAAACGTTAATTTTTTCATAATTCAATTTATTACCTTTGTAGTAAAATCCGAGCTACAAGCCTGCCATTGTGTTTTTTTGTTTAAAATACATTTACAATTTTTGAATGCAATTTAGATTTAATACAGTATATGCATGAGAATTATTACACAAATTTAATTTGAATGAACAATCAATTGAATTTACTTCAGATTTCAATATATTTTTTAATTGATAACATATTGAAGAATTTTAATAATCAAAATATTGTTGATAATTATGATGTAAATTTACAAATTTTATTATGATTAATTAACAGTTGTTATACATGTATTTTTAAAAATTTATAATCATTTTTGGTTCTTTGAAATATATTCTCTTAATTCTGTTAGTCTAATCTACTTAAAAAGAGAATCATAGTAATACAGGTAAACTAATGAGGTTGATCATGGATTTGTTTAATTCCAAGTTTTTGATTGCATATTCCTGTTATGATTAATGTATGATTCATATGATTGTTTACTTCAGGGATAGCAAAGATTTTTTCTTCACTGCTCCTTCAATCCCTCTGGTGAATAGAAAATGAACTCTTGGGGTTTTTTTTGTATTTATCTAATTTTTTGGGTATTTATCAACAAAACTGATCGATTATGTATTTATCTATGAACAAAACTGATCAATTATTATTTACAGTTATACATGAATATTGTATTTTTAATCAAAAAGTATTTATACTTAATATTATCCCTTTTTTATTTTTCAAAAAAATGTTATATTTTCTAATAAAGTTATCTCCCCTTCATTGAGCTAGTTTGACCAATTTAAGAAGGCCCATTGCACCATTACATTTTAAATGGAGAATGAAAACAATCTGGAATAAAAAAAAAAATAAACTTAAGAAACCATCCACCTATTATATTGATCGATTTTTCACTTTAAAATATGGTTAATTAAGGTCCAACAGGGGAGATAACCATGGTTAGCGGATGATCAGGCAACAGTACTTAATTTGGTACATTATGTTTCCAGTCTTCTCAGCTCTATAAAAAAAATGAAGTGCTTATCATATATTACAGATTTATATTAAATAATTTTGTTATGTTTGAATTTTTCAAAGTAATTATATTATATACATTGCGTATATACATGCGATATACGTATATATTAGAGTTATCTTCTCTCTGTGTAAAAAGGATGCTACTGTGATTTTTTGTGTCAAATTGTCTATTTATTCAAGAAAAGCTGGTTTAATTCTGACCAAAATTATTATATTTAATGTTAAATAATGATATAAATATTATATACACATATATATATCTATAAATATATATTTAATTGTGTTTTACCCTATGTTGTTTATTATAGTGTTGTAAATGTTGTAAAGATCATGGGGCTGAGATCATTTAAACTCAATGAAGGCCATGTTTGATGGTAGTCAATTTTAAGTCAGATTTTAGTCTCCAGTATTAAATTTACTTTTCTCTGAAAGGAGTTCAAAATGAATAAATATTGTTTTCTTTGGCATTCGTTTCTCAATTTCTGGAATGTGGAATCCAAGATCTTCAAAATTATGTTGTAATGATCAACAAAACTGTTATATTTAGATAAACTAAGATGAATTGAATTGACTACAATTACGGAGTCTAAGTGTAGTTTATATGTAATGATCTATTAGAATCATACTATTAAACCTATTACATGTTATACTAAATGTAAACCATGGTCTCTCTACTTCTATCAAAATAAAGTCATGGGCCAAGTTGCAACTGTTTAATATTGCCTTCTTGTTTTTATTTCTATTAAAATAAGGTCACATGGGGGAGTCTGTGGGTGTGGAATTTAAAGGATATAGTTAGCTTTTGATCCACTGACAGCACAGTAAGTTACTTCGTAAACACAATGGCCTACAAGAACAACTGTGAGTATGGTAAGCTACTGGACAAGCTGAGAGCACAGCAAGCTTCTTGGTCGGTTTTAATCATAGTGAGGTACTTGACCTACTGAGAGCACTGTAAGCTACTTGACCAATTGAGAACACAGCAAGCTACTTGGTCGGCTGGGATCAAAGTAAGCTACTTGACCAACTGAAGAGCACAGAGACATTTGACACTGGACTTTAATAAGAGACTTCACTTTGGATCACAGTAACTAACCTTTGAGTTCAGGTAGAATGTTAAAACTTGGTGTAGGTGTGTGTTAGGTGAATTCCTTAATGGAATTCGAAGATGATCATTTTCTGCTTAGGGTAAGCAGAAATAAGCAATTTCATTGGTTGATGCTTTGGGACATGACAACTTTGGTTCTAATTAAGTGAGAGTGATAAAACTTGGTGTATAGTTTCAGCACAATGATAGCTTGACTAAGTTTGATCATGAGCATTTCTCAGCCCAGGGTAAGCAATACCGTAACAAAGTTCGATGCTGTTCTTAGGCAAAGTAGAGACTTCAATCTGCAACACAATAACTCTCCTAACTCGGGTAGAATGTTCAAAATTGGTGTAGGTGTCTCTTGCGAATGCCTTAACAGAGTTCAATCATGTGCATTTTCCACTAAGGCTAAGCAGAGATAAGCAATTATCCGCCCTTGATGGTTGTGCTATTTTTATCGACCAATCCCATGTAAGTTGGCAAAGGGAAGTAACTGTCAACGGACAAGGTTGGGAGTTAGCCTAAATGAGAGAACCCCAAACTATTCTAAATGCGTATTTATTAACAACAAATTATATAATATTATATTTATGAAGACTGTGGGTTTATGTAGGTTCAAGAGTTTTTTTCAGAATCATGTGGAGTTTTATGTCCATCTGATATCTGTAGACAAGTTATTGTGATTTTGGGGTTTTTTTTGTTTTTTTAGTGTTTAACGTCCGCTTCCACCAAAGATGATATTGCAAGCAAGTTGTCTTTTTCTTCTATTTTCATTATCTTAGCGCACGCGTTTTTCCTGTGGGAGTACCCGGAGTAACCCCACGAGGTTGAAAATGCGGCCCTATCTCCAAACCACATACGCTCACACCAGGGATGGAAGGCACAACAGCAAGCCAGAGGTGACCGGCCAGCTATAGGTCGAAGCGTTACACTTTAGACCCACCTTGTTATTATGAATCAAATTGCCAAGTATAAGTTCAATAATAATGCATAACAGAATGAAACATTTCAGACAAAGAACGAATAGTAATAATAATAACAAAAGTAAAAAATTTAGATGTTAAACATATTTGAAATCAGCGAAACATACAATTTTGATAATACAATTAAATATAAATGAATTAGAAATATATACATTACATACATAAATCATTCAGTAAATGGACATGAATATTGTTACCTACCCTTATAAAAACAATGGCGAAACGACAGGTTTGTAAACTGTTTTTTGATTGGTTCGTAGACTATAGCTACAATCACGGCCAGCGCAGATAATTTGAAATCGTGGAAACCACTATGGATTAACCCAGGGTATAGCGGAGTAGAATGGAATGAGTACACTGGGATACCGAGGATGAGGCTCTACAATCATATTATTTACTAATCCCAAGACAGAAAATACAAGTTTGCATCTGAAACTATCCCAAACTGCTATACAACAAAATGACTGGCTTGTTGATTAACGAGAAAATAACCTAATATCCCTGTTTTCTGCTTTGAGGTTTTGGCCGTTTTTTCTTAGCTTGATGTTTCACATTTTGGCATAAATATCTGCTATTTCCGGAGAATATGTATTTTTTTTTATTATATGGCACTCATAGGCAAAACAGTTATATCATTTATCCCCCTTTCAAACCGCCTTTATGGTCCCATTATTTCGGGAATTCGATGTACGTACAAAAAAGACAATACAATAGAAATATATACCTAGGAGGATGTTGCATCAGTGATTAGTTTTATCTCAGATAATAACAATTTAAATCATATTATAATGGGCCTAAAATTCAACTGATAATGTTGCTCGGTGGCGCAGATTACTGACCTTAAATATGTTACCTTTTTCTGACAGAGCCCTTCTTTGCCCATAATTTGGATGGCTGCAACAATGATGAAAGGTTAAAAAGTAAAGCAACCTGATATAGTAATTCTCGGTTGTTATAAAATAGCTTTCATGTGAAGACATGAAACCAAATAGATAGGTAACTAATGCTTTTTCAGTCGAGTTCTGTGTACAGAGAATCGAGCCAAACAACCAGGTGCCGGGACAAAACCCATGACACTGACCAAAAAGATCATGGACATAACCTCGAAATCATTGTTGGTCTGCAACCATAAAGCTTAAAACTGTAGTTGTGTCCCTTGTCATGTTTCAGCACACAAGCTGGCTCATTAACCAGATGCAGTGCCAGCTAGATAATCTCTGTGTTGCCTGAGAAAGTTGTTTGGAATTTGCCAGCATGGTACGGAATAACACCGAGGTGCGGGCAAATTTTCCTTGTTGTACACTGCATTGCGTTCGAGGTATCAGAGGCTGGATTGTTCTGTCTAGTATCAATTGGGTATGCTAATAAATTAGTATTCATTAAACTGGTTGGTGAAGAAAAGTAGGAGTTAGGCCCCGTCATCATTTCATTTCACCATCATTCAAAGTGCCAGGACACTATAGCTACGAGAACGTAACTAAAAACGCTAAGATATACTGATCACGATGTGCTTGTTTTTCGCTACGATTGGATGCCATTAGTTCCAAGTGGCAAACTCAATTTCTTTATTAATGTAGGCCCTATGTACCATCTTAAAAATAAGTTAATTTTATACTATTAGTACTTAATACGCAGTCCAATCTACTGAAACAACATTCATTTATCAGCAAATATTGACAATAAAGAAAATCAAGCGTTGTTTTTATCAAAATTGATTCGGACGTTCATAATTACGGCGTATTACTACTGCGCAACTCTGATCAGATTAGTACTTTGATTGGCTATTGCATACGAGGCCCCGCCTTTATGTGTTACAGACGTATATTTAAAATGTCGGGAAAAGCAATCTACTGTCGCTTTGATTTAAAAAGAGGGGATTTGTACCCGTTTCAGGCAGGATTATATGCTTAAAGATGGGTTCCCGCGTACAAACTGGGTGATTTAATGGTATATATGGACTAAAAACATATTCAAACTAATTAATTTGCCATAACTTTGCTGCAAATCCTTCTCAAACATTGTAATTGCGAAGGAATGTCCTGCTATAAAAATTCGATCAAACAAGGTAATGTTTACGTCACGTGACTTACCTCTTTTGGAAGTCAGAGGAGAATTCATTGCACACATAAGACGATGTTGTCTTTAATCGCTAACTATTTATTACAAATATCGAATCCAAATTAAATTCTCGGATTATCCACTACCCGCGTCTTCTTCCGTCATTTTTATCTAGAACGTGTTGTACGTCTAACTCTTCATAAAGTGTATCAACTTGTACATCAAGCGCTCAATGTTCGCGTGTGACCTTTGACATCACGCGTGCAGAAATTCCTAATCGTCGGGCTGTTACATTTTTGTCCTGTATACGCCCCATGAGTGTTTTTCGGGGGATCCAGTATTTTTCTAGTAAGATTGGATATCTCTACTTTCCATATATACCAAAATTACAACCAAAATTACAACGTGCCCGCACCCCACGGTCACACTACTAATATTCCAGAACCTATTATTCGTGATGTATGTCATCGGCGGCATCTTGGAACTGTGAAGTGGGCCTATACCCATCAGCTTGCCATAGAAAGGAGTAGATCTTAACCAAGGTTCGCCTCGGTAAACAGTGCGATATAAATTAAACTGAATCAGAACAATTGCATTATATGTAATGCCAACAGTGTTAAGATTTGCGAATCAAAATCCAATCGTTAACAATACTTGAGCGCCAATCAGTTTGCGTGGACGCCTGTAAAATGTACAGGAACATTTCAGTGTTAAGTATGACCTTAAGCCAGGCGCAGACGGGCAACTTTTTCGAGCAACTTTCAGGCAGCAGTGAAATCGCTGGTCGTTGAAAGAAAAAATCGCTCGTCTGCGCCAACGAGCAACAATAGTTGCCTGCTGTTGCTCCGAGTTGCTTCTCGTTGTCAAATATCAAACATGTTTGATATTCGACAACAGAAAATCGCTCGTCGCCGAGAAATTGTTCATCTGTTGCTTCAAAATTGCTCGTCTGCGGCAACAGGCAACAAGCAACTGGTTAACTGTCCAATCAGCGAGCGCTCTACTGTCATGTGATATATATTGTTGTATGTACGGCGCCATTTTGAATGATCACGTGATATCGGCATTCCGGATACATCCGGAAATAATTGCTTCTCGTTGCCAGTCAGCGCACACGGGAGACCTCGAGTTGCCAATTGCTCGGAGTTGCCAGTTGCGCCAAGCTTTAGTTACAAAGATTATAGACACTGGATCCGCGCTCGATTCTCTTACAAAATTCTGGTTTAAAATAATTTCTCAAGATAATGACATTTCTTGTTGGCCTACTTCATGTACATGCTTCATGTACACTAAACAAGACAGAATATAGGCCATGAGCGAGAGCCACTAACCTATAAAAACGGACACGGCAGACCTACATAACTACAACTTTTTGTCTTGTTCATTAAAGGGCACATGGTTCAGTACTTTGGAACCTAAAATAAAGGAACATCGGTCTAAAAGCACATAATAATATGAATAAAGTGATTTACATTTTTAAAAAATATAGTAATTTCTGATCAATTATGTTCGGTGAAACACGGGAACAGCCCAAATTGAACGACAGTCGTTTACGCCAGCACACGTATTTTTTTAATTATTATTTG